AGGCAGAAATAAAGGGAGAGAGTGAGAGAGAAAGAAAAAGAGAAACAGAGGAATAGTGGGCGAGGCATATGTAAAGAGACAAGAAAGACAGAAGTAATGATTACGATTCAGAGGGCTGTGATGCGATTATAAAACGATTATCGATGCATCTCAATGCATCTTTTTTTCCTATACATCATTTCTATTTTCTCACTGTGTGAGGACGTCATAGTTTTAAAGCAAAGTATTTGTAATGATCCATAATGAATTTACTTCCAGTATCTTTTATTAATAAATCAAAGGGAAGTTATGTGGCAAGTGAACTAGAAGGCTCTCATTCACTGCCTTTGGAGTACATTTGGTCACGTTGTAGAATGTGGGGCAGCGGAATCGCTGTGTCAGTGAGATATCTTCGAGACGGGACGTGTGCAACATTGCACGAAAGCCCTGTTTCGCAACGACTGAGAATTACCGTGCAGACTGCGGGTCGCCTAGCAACGATGCGTTATTCGCATTTATAAGCAGCGCAGTTGGTTTCCTGGTACGTTAAATCTGCAACGAGAGACTGTCAAACAGTAAAAAGTCGCAAAGATGAAGTCGCTTCTCTTTCGAATTTTCCCGTTCCACCTTAAATGGTGCCGCATTTACATTCGGCTCCTCAGTCAGAATTTAAGGTGGAACGGGTAAATTCGAACGAGAAGCTGGAGAATAAGAAGCAACTTCAGCCTCGTAAGACAGCCGAATGTTGAGAGACATTTTACAAGAAACTGCTCTAGTTTTGAGGAAAAGTTTTCTGGCGGAGATGGGAGGAAAGCGGCTATAACTAAAGCTTAAAGCAGAGCGAAGTAAATCTGAGCTCTCGTTTATATGGTTTAGCCTATACTCGAACATCATATACTGAGACATACTGGACATTAAATGTTGCGGCTCCCAAGGTGGTTTGATTTTTGTTGAAAGGACAAAACGTCTCTTCTTAACATTTGAGTTGTGACTCCAGAACTAACCTGGCTTTTAATGCAGAGGGAGCCGGTCGGATTTCTCGCTCATCCAGTAGTGTTTTTGTTATGTGCCGCCACAGACTGTCCGGGCGCTGCACTTACCCACTTCCAGTTCCGTCTTTTGCGTTCCGTCAACATTACGTTATATATTAAATATTTAGAAAATCGATTTTTGACATTTATGAATCGATTCAGAATCGTCCACGTCCACGTGTGTGTGTGTGTGTGTGTATGTATATATGACCACAATTACAGACTGTAGTCCATCTGTTTCTCTGCATACTTTGTTAGCTCCCTGTTCTTCAGTGGTCAGGACCCCCATGGACCCTCACAGAGCAGGTTCTATTTGGGTGGTGGATCATTCTCAGCACTGCAGTAACACTGATGTGGTGGTGGTGTGTTAGTGTGTGTTGTGCTGGTCTGAGTGGATCAGACACAGCAGTGCTGCTGGAGTGCTACCTCAGTGTCACTGCTCGACTGAGAATAGTCCACCAACCAAAAATACCCAGCCAAAAGCATCCTGTGGGCAGCGTCCTATGACCACTGATGAAGGACTAGAGGATGACCAACACAAACTGTGCAGCAGCAGACAAAATGTCTCTTCTAGAACCTGCTCTGTTGAGGGTCCATGGGGGTCCTGACCACTGAAGAACAGGGTAAAAGGGGGCTAACAAAGTATGCAGAGACACAGATGGACTACAGTCTGTAACTGTAGAACTACAAAGTGCACCTATATGGTAAATGGAGCTGATAAAATGGACAATGAGAGAGAAACAAGGACGGTACATAATGTTATGCCTGATCAGTGTATATAGAGACAAATCGAAAATGGTAGAGGAAGAGAGATAGAAATTGAGACAAATAGAAAAAAGGAAGTGAGAGAGAGACAGAGAGAGACAGAGAGAGAGAGAGAGAGAGAGAAATTGAGACAGAGACAGAGAGACAGATCCAGTGGTGAATGGAATGAGGGGTATTGTGGGTAGCCTAAGGCTGTGTAGACCCTAAACTCCAGACTGAACACAGAGGAACACTCAGAACAACAGCTGAGTCCAGACCTGGAGAGCGAGAGACTCCCTCACTGACCTGCGCCTCAACCCTGCAGCACCCCAAAAACACCAGCAGTAAACCCATCAGTCCACTGAGACCCTGACTCTCATCTCCCCTTCCTCCACTCTGTCTGGCTGGGTCAGAGACCTTTTTAAAAACCCTTGAAGCTGCCCTGCTGATTACAGAGCTCCAGCAGCGCAGTCACAGGGGGAGGCTGCTCTTCAGAGAGAGGTGAGCACCTCTCGGCAAGGTTAGTGCTAAACACACGACCAGGAGGGACCAAAGGAGAATGGAAACACTGAGATGGTTTCAAATGCACAATGTTACAGCTGCAGACTCGACCTGGGGGCAGGGCATATTTGCAGAAGATGACTCCCTCAAGACTGGGAGGAAAAAACAAACAAAAAAAAAAAACAAAAAAAGAAATTTTGCACAAAAAGGAATGAGAACAACAGATCAGCTCACTGAGCTAACCGCTGCTTGTCAGAATGATTTTTTTTGACATTACAGGCAGCACTGAGTCTGGCCCCGAAGCCCTCAGTTCACTGCTATTGACAGACTCAGCAGGGAGGCTTCACTCCACTCAGAGCTGTCACTTCAATGGGAAATTCTGCAGATACATTTGTAGTGTGATTATCGAACCATGACGCTTTTATTCACAGCTTTCCACAACATACAAAGTAGAGTGAGGAAACCCAAATCACAACCTCTAATCTCACATGCAAGTTACTTTAAAAGGCTATATCAAGGAAAACCAGTGTGAAGTAGTATGTAAAAATTGTTCAATATGTACAATATGTACCATTCACTCTCCTATCCATATGGTCCCTAAATGTGATTTTATGATATCGATTTGTCTTCATGATACATAATATATCACAATATTTTGTCTGATATCTGATGAGTTGGAAAAAGACAAAATAGTGCTACATTTAAATAATGATATAAAAAACTATGCATGCAGTGATTTTTGTCCAACATTTTGCATATCGTGCTGCACTAAGTGTGTGTGTTTAAGCAATACGTTAAGATATCCAGTGTTTTAGCCCAGAGAGCCTTTTGAATGAACCACAACACAGGGCAGCCAATCAGAAGAGAGATGTCTCACTTAAGGCACTTTGCCACAGGGTGATTTAAACCCAGAACTACCTGTACCCTGGTCGAGTACCTGCGTCTGTTTCCCATCACACAGAACCGTGAAAGTAAGCAAGGGTTCTCTGAAGGTACGATTTCTCAAGCAAGCCTGTGTGTTTAATACAAACACCAACAACAATGAAGGGGCTTCAAGTTCTGATTTATCTTTTACTCAGCTGTTTTTTAATATGAATATTCACGGAAAGCAATTCTAAAACTGATTCTGAAGCTTAACTGAATCATTCGAGTGATGAGGCATGACGATTCTGTGATTACTGTGTTTGACCATTAATGGTCTGAACCCTTTCTAATTCCACCCACATGTCCCAGATCAGCATGGTCGGTACCAATAAGGGTAACCGAATCCAGCAGAGGTACTCAGGTACGCAATGCAGACACTGCACAGTACCACCTTTTCTTTTCCAATACAATACTGGAACTTTTAGCATTGGCAGACATTCATCAGATTTTTCCCCTAAAAAGCTACTAAGCTTTTAAATGAGCTAATTTAATTGATTCAATTAAATTAATTTCAATTTACCTTTGTCATTATACACACCCAGGGGTACAGTTTAATAAACACATTCAGGTTACAACTCTGGTGCATTAAGAAAAGGACATGAGTGCACACATACTAGTGGGATAACAGACAATATGTATACACACAATAAGCACAAAAAACAACAGTGTGTATAGAGTGTGTAATGTATTAGGTTCAAACAACACAAACACTCCCACTAACACTGCATACTAGCCCACAGAAATAAAAACACAGCTAACATCACATCACACAAATAATTGTTCCAGTATTTCCTGCTGATGTCTGCCTGTTATGCCTGATACTGATTTCTGGTATCAAATTGGTGCCACCTCTAAAGGTACAGTTTGCTTGAAAAATGATGACAAAATGTGTGAACATGGATTTATACTCATACTGTACTATATTGACTGGTGAAAAGGCAAGGTAACAAGGTATTAAACGTTAAGGTATAGGCTGATTCAAAAAGATTAATCCGATTTCAAAGCGCCATATTTTTATAACCGTGAGGCGCCTAGGAACCAATCACATACCAATTGAAAGAGAGGGTCGTAGAGTTTCTGACTGTCAGTATGGCAGTGAACCTCCAACAGCTCAGAGCATTCTTCGTTGGTTCCACAACACTGGACGATCTCCGAAATCGCACTGAAAGCCGTGAGTACAGAGTCACCCCACATGCTCAATCGAGTATGATGAATTTGACTATCGCATTGATGTTGTCTGTACAGCTGGAGGACGTCATATTGAGCACTTGTGAAATTACATAATAAACTTTATGCTCATAAATCATTTTGAAATCGGATGAATCTTTTTGAATTACCCTGTATTTAACGTTAATTCTAATGGATTAAGACAGGTGGGAAAATGGTCATGTCGAAAGGAATTACGAATGTTTTTGACACATAAATACACACAAATACCATAAGTGGTCTTCAGGGAAACAATATAAAATACAAGAAAAATGTCAGGTATGGACCCTTTAAAAGTATGTCCTACTGACACCCACCAAAACAAAACAAAACAAAACAAAACAAGAAGACTTCATTCACTTCAGTCAGCCCCAGCTATTAACAACGGCTCACATTCACAAAGCTTCTCAGAGTAGGAGTAGGAGCGCTAATCTAGGATCACATTCCTCTCTTATTTACAATGACTTTAGTTACACGAACACATCCTAGATCCGCACTCCTACTCTGGGAAGCTTAGCTTCAGGAATTTGGGTCAATATTCACAGCCAAATGTAATAACGCGTTTTGTGAAGGAAGATCAGGGAGGCGAAACGGCAGTGAAGTGATTTTACTCACATTACCCGGCCGACCAGGTTAGTCTGCACATGCTTCTGAAAATCTGGATATCTGGAGGCCAGGTAGGCAAAATCTGGGGGCTTGTCCTTGTACCGATTTCGGGGATGCATTGATTTATTCAGTGCCATTCCTGTGGAAGCAAATTAGACACGGGGTAACCGGTCAGGGAACAGAGTTTCCACACAGGTAGAATTTTAAAAAGTTAACGTTACTTAAATACTGTGGCGAGATAATGTGCAATGTATCTGATTTGGCACCAAAAATAAGCGAACATGACTAAATCTGAAGTAAACAGAAGTTGAGCTCACTTAGCTGACTTGGCTAAAACTGTGCTAACAACCCAGCCGGTAACGACAGCGGGCAAGAGAGCATTACAGCAGAGTGAGGAGTGGACTGGGGCTGTGAGGCAGCACTGCAGTACCGTTCGGGTCCGGTGTGTCAGGGTGTTAATATGGGGAGAAACAGGCGGTCGGTCCTCCGCGCTGCCAGCCGCAGCTCACGTTGCTCCAACGTTGTGTTTGCTCGGGCTGTGTCACAAAACTGCGCCGGCAACCAAATATGACGTAACGCGCATCGACGACAATCACAGGACTTTTTTCCCCCAAAAGAAAATGTTTATAAAAATGTTTGATTAATTACGCAACTTTGTAATCAGTTATGGGTAAATATTATTTCTCATAATACACATTGTTAAAGAATATTATTTTCTTGAGCACTAATTTTATTTTTTAACACTGGCATATGTAAATATGTAATATGTACCCGTTTTTTTGTTGTCACTAGTTTTATAGAGATTCAGAGATTCTGTGAAATTAAGCAGAAGTAAAATGACCTTTACTGTACATATATATATATATATATATATATATACATATATACATACATATATACATATGCATATATATTTGTACATGTATAAATATATATATATATATATATATATATATATATATATATATATATATATATATATACACACACTTAATATAGCAACTTGAGTAGAAGTATGAAGGTTCCCACCAAGTTGTTACAGATGCTGAAGTGAGTAACTTGCAGAAGTGTAGTGGAACTTCTTCGTCCTGCATGTATGAGCAGAGTAAGTTTGTTATGCTCTATTCTGGGCATTCTGTTAAAGGGGCCCTCCTGCCTCAAACTAGAGTTATTACTCATGTTATGTAATATTCTGTATTGCATCCCTCAGTCTCATTAATTTGACAGAATTCATGATTTTGTATCTTTTTTCGTCCACCGGTGTTCTCTCTCTTCCAGTATGGATTACAAACACGTTATGCAAATTATGGGCAAATGGCATGGTGTGCTGATTTTCTAGGTGAAAATAAATTGACATTCTATGAGAATACACTGTAAATATTCACAGGCCACATTTTATGTTTTATTTCCCAATATGTTAAATTCAGCAAATAGTAATTGCACATAAATGTGCAGAAGGGTGTTGTCTGTAGAGGATGTGCCACTTATTTTCATTTAGAAAACCAACAAAACTTGTAACGGCCCAAACTGCTTGTAGCTTTTCAAATGTTCCTCCCACCTTGAAGATACATCAGCAGGTGTTTCTAGTCTCACTCTCTAGACTACAGCACCACTCTAGAATGCAACTATAGCCATGTTAATGACAAATGAAGCAAGGGTTAAAATTTTGAATTGTGTCCAGTGTGTCTAACATAAAATAAACCTAGCAATACTTATTAAAATGCTTTTATATTAGAACAGGTGACATTTATTCTAAGTTTTATAAATTCTTCTTTACTCCACTCTATTCCCTCAATGACTCTCCTACTAAGTTAAGCAGTCATCATAACACACTAGAATCTCTCCTCTCTGTGCAAGGTACACACTGCTGTAACCCTACAGGACAGTCTTTGGATGTACTTTTCCCCACACATCCCTATTCGGGTAAAAATGAACTGCTGAATAAGTGATAAGGAGAAGCTGGAGACCTGGTACTGAATTTGAACAACAATTCACCAGTACTCCATTAGACTGTTGACCACAACTAATTCTCTTTTGCTTTTTTAACATTGACAAGATAAGCAGTAGTAGAGAGAAACGACATTTACATTTTTTTCTTTAATTATGTTGCAAACAATAATGACATCCAGATATATTGTTAACAATTGGCTGTGTGAACAGTGATAACCATGAAAGCAAAAGTCTCATTAGAGCTGTGAAGACTGAAGCCTCCAATCTATTCACAAAGCAAGTAGAGCTGACAGATGAACTTGTGGCTGGAGGAAGGACCCACAAATATTATTATGTACATTAGTCCATCCTATGAGTGCAGCGTTGGGATTGCTTGGGACCTGTGATTTTTTTTGCAGGGCACGTAGAACCCCTTGGTGCCCATGTAGTGAGCATTCACGCAATGAAGAACGTGTCAAAGAATTGCTTATTCTTTACCTTTCCTTGTCAAAACGAGAAAGGTCTAAGAGACAAGCAGGTCCTGATTCTGTATTAGACTTATGGGCATAAGGAATCCTAAAATCTGCCAATCAGGAGGGAGTAGCGCCTGTAAAGGATGGCTTGCTTTGAGCATCAACTGCGGACACCGCGAATAAGAGCAATACGACGTTCTGAAAGATCTGGTTAGATCATTTCCAGTGGGACCTGGGGGTATTTAACAATGCAGGATTTCTGAGACATCTTAAATGGACATGATAAGCCAGAAGTCAAAAATCCCCCCCAAAATCCCTGTCTTTTTTTTGGTTTAGGATTTCCACCTGTTTTACACACCACTTTTTGTGATGGAGTACACCCTTTAGTGTAGTTTCAGCCTGAGCACAAAAAAGCCCCATCATAATCATGGGCAACTTTCTGTCCAACACTCCTCTACAGCACAAAGAGGTGCAAGAAACTAAACAAGTAGATGCGACTATCGCAATCTGTACCACGTTTATAGGAGGCATCAACGGTGTTTGTTGGTTTTGGTTGGGCACTTCTCCCTCAGTCTGCCGCAATCCCATCACAAAAAGAACAGAGTCAGGAGTCAACCTCCTTCACAGAGCACACGCACAGACCAGTCTGCCTACAACCACACACTGAGCTTTTAACAGTTATCATGCCAGCTGACCCATCTGGTAAGGTGTCTGTGTTTGGAGTCATTAAATAGTTAACAGCACTACATACTATACATGGACATCTCCCTTTACTAGTCACGAGCGACAAAATAAAGGTTTTCTTCCATTGTGTTTTGCAGCGGAAGTTGTCGCTGTTTAAGACACCGCAGGACGGCCTGAGATTAGTCACCAAATTCAGTACTACCTGGACCACCACAGACCCCCACCAGACAGCTCAACCATCAGTACTGTTACATGCAGCAGTGCTATGTCGACAGGTACAGATCTCAGACTACTAATCATTTTTCAGCAGCAGCAGGTACATCCAGTACACATAACAGGAAATCGCTAGATAATAGACTGGTTAAGCAGTGGAATTCTTTATTATAGAATTGCATCGTAATGAAAAGGCTAATCAAAATGATCTGTTTATGCATTTAGTAATAAGTCTTGAACTGCTTAGACCTTCAGTCAGAAGGGACAGAAGACCCAATGCGAGAGGGATGTGCAAGTTAGTTTTTTTTTTTTCCTTTTCTTTTTTTCAACTCTTTCAACTTTGCTGCCAAAGACAAAGGCAGTTGTTTATTTTTAAGATATGGAATGGTCAACCTCCATTTCTGGGATCCACTAAATCAATTCCCATAGCATAGTGTCTATGTTTTACATTTACCCACACAGATTGCAAGATGAACAGGAGAAAATGTACTACTCGTAAGACATCAGTAATGGCTCCAGAGCTTGTGGCGCTTTCCTGTTTGGGATGTTCACAGAGCCATGAGCGCTCTCCTCCTCTCTGGGTCGAGGGAGAGCCGCTGTGGTCTACTATGTGAAAACCCTCTTACAATTAGGGTGTGACCATCAAGCTTTTCCACAAAGAGCTCAGGCAGACATTAGTATAACCGCTGCTAGCATTTCATTAGATTCCTTTAAATAAAATCCCCCACTAACCCATCAGTCATTATAGAATGGGGCTGCATACAGTGGCAAACCCAGCTATCAATTCATTGCAATGTCACCACTATCCCATTTTTTTCTTCTATACAGAACCACCTTTCATTTGCAAGAACGATCTTTGCACATTCCCAGCTGAACACTAGGAAACACTTTGAGCCCTTGTCATGTTTCATATCTAAAAGGTCCAAACTGAGGGTTTTCTTTGCATTGTAGAAGAACACCTGCTTTGCACAAATGGTTCAACAAGACAATTTAATGTTAAGTTTACATGATTTTTGCAGAAAGGAAACAAGCCAAGAACATCAGCTCAGTGAGGGCAAGAGTAGCTTTGAATTCATTTTAGCAGTACAGAAATCTCTTTAAACTAGCACTACATTGTCTGAGCACTAATGGCCAATTCAAGTGCTTCACAGAGGCAACATTTTTGGTGCTCATAAAGTTTGAAGTGCTTCTGGGGACGATCTCCATCTTAAGATATGCCCTCTATATGTAGAAATTAGGCAAAAATTTCAATTTAGACTGAAGTGAGATTCTTCTCTCAGCTCTCCCATGTCTAGGGACTCTCTCAGTAGGACATTTCATGACAAGTGTACAAAGAATTTTTTTTCCCCCTAACATTTCAAGACAACTGTTTTATCATTCTTAGATGCAGCCATTGAAATATCTTATAGTTCCACAATAAGAGAATGGTAAGCACACTGATGTTACAAAGCTACAGATCATTCTGATAACAGGCCCCATAGGCAATCAATTGTTCCTCTAGGGATTATAGGTATTATGGTATTCCATTTTTGTTGTCTTTCTCCCCTCAAAAGGTCACCAACCTAGGCACCAATAAACTGACAATGACAGAAAAAAAAGACAAAGAAAAGGGCAGGGCACGGGGACAAACAAGGACAACACTGTCATTAAATTATCAGTATAGTGACCTACATTTACCCAGTCAGTTTACGCCTTCGGTAGGTATGGCTGAGTGAAAAATCAGCCTGTGTTAAACCTATGGTACTTCTAGACAACGTTATGTAAATTTACAGTATACAATTTTGGATTCACCATGCAAGAATACTTTTTTGTGTGTGTAACATTTAATAGCTCGATCTACATCCAGAATAATTTACATAAAAGGACAATAGTTATTGAACCAGAGCTAGGTGGGTCAAAACCATGGTGGTCAAGTGCATCCGGATGGAGAATGGGGAAAAATGGGTCAGGGGTGAAGGGCCGTGGTAGTGGGGTCCTGCAGGCAAAATCAGCGACACTCCCAGACTTTTACTGTCTGATCTACACTGCCGGTGACCACATATGGAGCAACCTTGTGAAAATCTGCGAAAAGAGAAGAGATTATTCAGTAAATAGTACAATTAATTAAAACAAAGCTCTTGTTTGCTTCATCAGTAGAACTGGCTTGGGTCCAACTGAGATTAAAGGTATAATAAGCATAGCTAAATTTATAGTAATTGTTATACCATATATACTAATAAAAGGTCCTCAAAAAGATGGAAATAAAAAGAAAAATTAATTAGCTACCAGCATTTGAAAGAGTGCTTGGGCTTAAGACCAAAATAAACTGAAAACATCTGTTTTTCCCCCTAAAAGCACCACATCAGTCTATACGTGAAAAGATGAGTGCTATGTACAGGACTGCATTTAAAAAGGTACACTGAGGCTTTAGAGGAGACTGTTGGGAAGTAGGCTGAGGAGTTTGAAGCATCTCCAGAGAGTTCTGCTGCCTTGATCCACTGAATACCTCTAGCCTCAGACAGTTAAGTGCCCGGAGTGCTTGCTCACTGCTCACTGCTCACTGCTCACCACCCTGCCCCCCCCCGAACGGGCTGCCAGAAGCCCCTAGGACGGTGCTTTGTGGCAGAGAGATGAACAATCCCCATGGCATCTAGTCTCTTAGCCCTCTAGTAAAAGCTTTCAACCTTACAGAAGGATGATGTATTTTACACTGCCCAGAGGCACCAATGCTCAAACAAAAGACATTTCAAAAAGCATTCGAAAACATTCAAGAAGTCAGACAATAGTGAGTGATTCAGAGTGGCTCCAGAAGCTTACCCAGAGAGGTAACAAAATGTTCATGGGCACTCAAGGTCTTCATGCAGCGCTTGTTTTTGTAGTCCCAGATCCTCAAAGTCTTGTCATCAGCACAGCTCACAATAAACTTTCCACCAGGGTGAAACTGCACACCACGCACCCAGTTATCATGGCCAACCTGTACAGGGCACCAAATTATCAAAACACAGCAGAAATATACAAAAGCAAACACATTCAGTACACAACTGTGCACTGAGCACACCAACATATTCATCCAGCTCACTCACCAGTGTCATAAGGCACATGCCAATGCTGACATCCCACATTTTGATAGTCTTGTCTCTGGAGCCAGACAGCAGGAACGGTCCAGGTTTCCCACTCTTCTTAGTCTGGCAAGCAAACAAAAGAGATAAGCCCCAGGGACAAGAATAGAGAAGACTGGTACCACGTGTGACCATGTTTATAGGGCTTTAGAATACCTGCTTCTGTATTCTAGATTTAATGCTTTGCTTATCAACACTGCATGAGCATCTGAGCAAAGGACTACAACCATTATTTGAGAGCTGACTCTTGAACAAGACCGTATGTTTCATATATCCAATTAAGAGACCTCTGAACCAATGGGGCTCTGAAAACTGCTCTTCAAAGAATTAAAGACATCCATGCAGCATTTGTGCATCCTTCAACAGTCACAATAAACTGATAAAATAATAAGTAGGGGAGATAAACACCACCCTAACCCCCACCCTTGAGTTGTACGTTTCAGTTCATTGTTCTGCAGCAAGGTGCAACACCATCTGGGTGGATGTGAGCAGTTAAGCTTCTGTACACTTCAGAATTCATCCAGTTGTCAGCAGTCATATCAACAAAGACCAACAAAAATCTACTGTGTGGATCCAAAGTGTACCACATCATCGGTTTGTTTTTTGTCTGTACATTTTTTCTTACTTATTCTAGTACATGTTCTCCTTTGTCTCTTGCCTTTTAGTAAACAAACCTATTCTTGAGGCTTACATGTTTACATCTTGTGGTATGCCTTTTTCTTCATAATAGAACAGATTCTTGGGTCATGCACTGCTGTGGTTTTCAGCCTCATGACGGCACTTACACTTCTTCAGCCCTCATGTTGAATGTCTAGATGTAAATGCTACATCTAAAATGAACTCTAACCTATAATAGCTTGCTTTTAGGTACAGTTGGCCAAAATCAAGAGTAGCCAACTGGACAAATAGTTATGATCCCCTTAAATGAGGAACTCTCAATTAAAACACCCTTGAATTAAAAGTGGCCTTTTGAACTTTAACCTATATATGTTGAACTCAGCAAATAAACAGAAACTGTGCACTAGATGTTGTAGAAAGTGCCATATATAGGTATGTTTGTGGAGTGTGTTAATTTTTTTTACACCTTTGATTAAAAACAAACAAATAAGCACAACTACAAAGGCTACAAGCAGAGATTGAGACAGTAAGGCTGAAGTGCCCACACTAAGCAAAGAGACAGGCATGTTGAGACAAGCATGCTCTGTAGGTCTAAATCATTACAGATCTGTTGTAATATCACGCAAGGCTGCATTATCACCAACTGTGACAGTCTAATTGATGTCAAGAGATCCCACAACTATTCTACCTGAACTGGTCTGACAGCACCAGACTCTGTGAAAGTTTTGTTTTAGCTGGAAGGAAGGATAGGAAGTTCCCTTTATGTGATAACAATCAAGAGGCACTGTGAGGGTTCAGGCTGCCTGATGGAGCCACATGCTGTGAGGGCAAATGTTACATCAGATAAATTGGAAATTGGACATGGCTGATCACAAGACTGGCAAGAATCAAAATGGTACCATCTTAACCTCAGGCCATCAAGTCTCAACCCTTCCAATTTCATTTCATGGTCTAGTTCAAACTGGTTCTGTATGCTAAATAGAATTCTTAGGTGATCCTTGGTCTCAGATCAAAGAGCAGATCATGTTGCTTTCGGGGGGCAGAGAAAAATGCTGCAATTGTAATATTTGAACACAAGCACGCTGAGGCTTGTACCCACAAGTCAGCAGTATTGTTTCTGTAAATGTTACAGCTGTCCTTCCTATTAACCAGTCACAAGACCTCAGACCACATCATTTGCACATGAGATATTTTAGTGCTTGGAGAGCTGTTCTCACCTCAGAGCCAGTGGCCTCCAGTATAGTAGGATGCGCGCTCTCAGGAGCCCATGAGATACACTCCACTACGTGTTCGTGCTCTCTCAATTCAGCCTTGCACTCTTTTGTGGCCACCACCCACACGCGCACCGTCTGGTCATTAGAGCTACTGGCAATCAGGGAGCCATCCTGGTTGGGCCGTACCATGCGTACCCACTCTCTGTGGCCAGTGAACGTCTTCACACAGTACCTACAGTGCCAGAATAGAGTTTTTTTTTAAATACTATTATTTTATATATTTTTTTTACTATAATAAGATAATACATGGAGAGAAACAGCACTGTAACAGGTCTGAATTATTCCAACAAATCAGCTTTTCAGGATCTTGTAAAAACTTGAGTGTGATTAATAATTGTTTTAAAGCAATGTATTCTGCTGCAGTACTTACCCGGTTGCCACTTCCCACATTTTAATGGTTTTGTCCCTAGAGGCAGATACTATATGATCTCCATTGGGCATTATAGCTACAGACGAAACATTATGGTCATGGCCTAAAACAGAGAAGACAAAGAGATTCTAATTTTCACTGACCAAATTATTGAATTTGAGCACATCAGTGATTACACAACAAAATGAAGGTACTGAATATTACATGCTTTGTTAAGAATGAAACCATTAAATTTGTTGTGTACATATTCAGCAGCAACTATATTCATACTTCTACCATGCAAATCTGTTACATTCACCATTGATAATTGGTGTATAATCTTTACCATGACAAATATGTTAAAATGCATTAAGCAAGGGAAAAAAAAAGGAAGGAGACAATTTGCACTATGTGTGGCTTTGTCTGTAAAGAGCATAAGGCATAAAAAGCTAATTACACAGGGCACCGTTCTAAAGCTGCAAAACAGATGATGAAACTAAGTAGCCTAGAAAAAACAGGCTTAAATATGGGGAGAGCCCCACAGAATGTTATCTCGTCTTGAAAAGGATAATTAAACTGCTGTCCAAATCTTCTAATCTCCTGCTGAAGCCCGCAAGAGACGGAGAGGGAGGGGAAAAAAGATAGAAAGACAGTGGGAAAGGCAGAGAGAGCCGTTTTGCACCCAGCCAGGAGGGGGACAGACAGTAAGGGGCGAGGGGGAGGGGATGGTTCCTGCACTACTTCCCTCAACCAGCACAGTCTGCTAGTCTGAGGGCAACGTGCCAGTTTAACTGACGGGGTGTAAATTACAAGCCACCGGATTTGAACATATTAAAAGCTGTTGCACACATGCTATTTGGATTATTACCACCAAGGGTTTACAAATTTTGACATGGATTAAAAATGGCTAGAAGCTACTTGGAATACAAGTCCACTGGTTTACTTCTCAGTTTTTGCTATCTGCTGCTCATTCAGCATAAAAGCCAAAACAATTCTGGTATAATTCAGCATGCAGTTAGTTGAAATGCAAACTCCATCCATTTCTGGGGTGATCACCTATCAAAGGAGCCTGCAAGCTCACATTACTAACGCACCACTGTAATTTATCAAGCAATTTGGATATTAAAAGGGCACTGCCTACGGACTAAGTGTGCAGGGAGAGCACATTTCACTTTCATGTAGGAAAAAAAAATGCTGAATACATTCAATGTTTCATTTGACTAAATTCCCAAAAGAACAGATCGCATAAGCCTAAAGGAACTGAACTGTGATGGGTAGAAAGGCAGTCTAGATAAATGTAAGTGTAATATCAGAAAGGAAATTAGTTTGAGATTGATGGGTGGCTCACATTACACTGGACATTCTCTAATGAATTGGAGGCCAAACAAACATACTAAAAGAGGAAGCATTCAACACCTGGCAATACCTTACAACAGTAACATAATCAAGTAGTGATGCATCGATACAACTTTTTCCCTTCCGATACCAATACCTGATCCTTGAGTATCGGCCGATACCAAGTACCAATACTAACTCTATTTAACCTAACTAGCTTGTAAGTCATTATTTATACAGCTACAGTAAATATTTTATTTTGGTAAAAACATCAATTTAACAATAAAATGTGAACTATTTTATTGTGCAAAAAACAGAACTGAACAATAAATAGATAAAGCTGTGGTCTGTACATGCAAACTTGCAGCAGCTTCTCTGGCTTGGCAAAAACAGTGCTAAAATGTTGTTTTGTTGAAGCAAAAGGCCACAAGACCCCACTACTGTGTGACGAAGCTGAATGACAGATGCAGACACAAGGCACGGGCAGTGGACACACAGGCTCGGCTAGTGGGCTGATATGCTAAAAGATAAACCAAGACTAAAGGCCTTTACTACCCCAAGAGACTGGCGTTTCAATAACAACCTGGACTAACATTAACTCAGACTGTAAGTGACTACACAGCGGGAGATGAGGGATTCCTGAAAGAAGCATGGCCCAGTCAGTGAGGTAAGTTGCTACGGTTAACGTGTTTTACACCGTCTGCATGCTGTGTTATCTGTATTTGTGACAGGTCGGTGAAACCAATAGCTTAGGAAGAATTCCAAACAATATATCACCCACTCCTGCTGCCTTTCCACAAAACAATGGCAGTACAGATTTAAGTTCCAGTTGTTAAGTTCTGTCGACTGCATGCACGGGTCAGCGTCCACGTCAGAAATTGCTTTGTAGTATTGGTCCCGGGCATCACCATCGATAACAGCGATGCTGCATTTAATTGTCAGTATCAGCACCAATACAGATACAGTATTGATGCAACCCTACAATAAAGCCACACAGGAATCCTTGTTTCAGATGTTCTGCTAGCGGACACTTTGCTCACCATGCATGGTTCTGATGCACTCAAAGCCCTGGAAGTCCCAGAGTTTAATGGTCATGTCTGCCGAGCAGGAGGCCAGCAGCTTTCCAGTCTGGTCAAAGGAGATGTCCTGCACAGAATCTGTGTGACCCTTCAAGGTACGCTCAAAGTCTCCAGTCTCATAATCCCACACCTAGAACAAAGACAAAAATAACAGGCTCTGTTTGTGTGTCTGAATGGCAAAATAAAGAAAATTTATTTAGCACAGGCTTCTGGGCTATTCTGGGTCACAAACATGACAAATACTGGGATCTAACCTAAAACAATTAAAATGACTAAACTTGATAGTTTTTGGGTATACAACAATGCCTGAGTTGAATAATTAAAATAGACTTTCTTTTGATTACAGTAACGTTTTTTTTAATTAAAGCTGAAAAAAAAAATCATCAATTTAAACTTTTTGGTGTTCCCTATAGGGCTCCAATTGATCTATAAATTATATGAATATAATTTTTTATCTGCATGATTATTAACTCACACATATTAATGGACTTGGTTTGAGAAGGTTTTGTGAGAATATAGCTGCTTGGCTAGCTTACAGCTAGCAAATCACATGATGTTAACACATTAAACAGCACTAGAGCTTAACATGAAGATCAGGTTTCAGCGGTTTCCAGGCTGCAGACACAGAATGATAAGCTGGGTGCTGCACAAGGGTCGGAGTTGAGCAAAAATTGACAGACGCCCCTCCACCAGCTTATCTGAATCTCTTCTCTCACATCCATTAAACCCCATTCACTAGTGAGTAAAGGAAACGTGTAGACAAAAGCAAGCTGTGGCCACACCCACAGCAGACAAGCTTAAACACCAGGATTAAACAAGCAATAGGCCTACATGTTTAATATGTTTACATAACATGGGCAAGATTAAGGTAAAGAATATAGATTCTGCTTACACTATCACTTGGAGCTAATATCCCAATAACAAAAAGATTTGAGCTTTATTTTACAAACCAGGCCAGTCCACAAACAAGTGGAGTAAAAATCCAAAAAGAAAGACAAAAGGCAAGAGATGGGAAGAACCACCAATTAAAATGAACTCTCCGTTCCTGGGAGGGAAAACGCTGACTTGGCATTTATATAAATTGGGGCCTTTCGGCAGTTAGGCACTTTAAATGGACATCACGCAAGGAATATGAAAACTCTTCTCTTATCAGCAGGTACAGTACGGAAGGCTTTGAAACTGCTGGTTAACATGCAAGTTAAACAGAATATTCATGACATTTTTAAAATAAATAATACTGCCATATATCTCCACAGGTAGGACAATTGTGTCAGGCTGCCCAGCTTAGGGGCCTCATGACAATAAGCCATGAATACAAATACATGGTTCTAGCAGAGCAGACTAAAACTGTAACAGCTCTGGCTGTCTGGCCAAAGGCACCAATGTGTAACATTATGACATGGTGAGGCTTGAAAAGGTTTAATTCCACAATATGCAAAAGTAGGACACAGGGGGAAGTGGGGGGTAGGGGCGCAAGCCAGTCAAGCCTGCCTGGGTCGGTGGCCACGGCTACTGGCACTCAGGCGGAAGTTGAATTTGTTGAAAGGCAAGTGCCTGGGAACGTGAAGGGAACTCCTCTTGAATTACATTTAAATTAAACAATCATTGGTTTTAAGACAAGTTTATGCTCATTTGAAGCACAAAACAGCACCATGGACTCTGCTTCTAAAATGGTGACAAAATATAAGATTTGACTGAACTACAATACAAGATAATTGGTGCGAGATGGATAGGAGCATGCAGTGTGTCTGGATCCAATGCTGGTGCTGCATGCAGAGCTGGTGAGCTCTGCTGCTGATGGCAGACTGGCAGAAACGGAGCACATACTTGATCATAGATCTCATTGCCATGGGAACTACACTATTGGCCTCGCTTTTGTTTAGACAGAGCAAGCAGGCGACGGAGATGCTTAATAGAGACACAGCAGGGCAGAGTATGGGGATAACAACTTCTCATTTATAGCTCTCACTGATGACAAGACACCACATTACAAAGCACATCAATGACAAAAAAAGGTCCAATTTGCATTAAAGGAGTGAAACTGCAATGGCGATTTTGGAAAATGAAAACTTTATATCTACAATATAAAAAAATTCCTGCTGGAAATTCCCTGCAAATTTCCTGCGGAAAAGTCTCTGCATAATTCAGCTGTTGACATACAAACAAACAGTCATTTCAAGTGTTCATATGTGTTCTTCTCCAGCCTAAATAGATCTGAAAACATAAAACATAAAATAAAATACGTTTTACATTCCCAAAACTATCATAAAACAAAATCTCATCAGGCAGTGTATTTGAACCATTTTCTGTAATAGCTTCCAGTAATGTAGCTTTTAGAGGCACTAAATTCTTCAGACGTTCCCATCACCACAACTACAAACAATTCTGACTTGGCAAATTTCTCTAGAATGGAGCACTTCACATCAAACCACCCTGAATGACTTGGCTTACATCTTGATTTCATTATGCAAATATTTCGAAGGAAAAAAGGTAAGAAAAGAAAGAAAAGGAAAAAAAACAAACCAACCAAAAAAAACAAAAAAAACAAAAAAAAAAAAACAGTGCATTAAGACCGTTATGCAAACAATTTGAGTGGAGAGAAAAAGCCACACAAAGAACACCCACCTTTATTGTGGCATCCTCTGAGGCAGACACCATGACACTGAAGACAGGATGGAAGATGACCTTGGTGACAGGACTCCTGTGGCCACTCAGAGAATATCTCTCTGGGGGACGGGGAATCCATTCTTTGGGGTCTCGTTTCTGTCCTATAGGTCCCCCTAAAGTGATCTCCTCTTTTGCTTCATTCAGCTTTGATTCTAACTCCATCACCTTCGAGCAAACAGCAGGATAATGCCATTAAGGGGATGCACACTGAGAATTTCACATGCAGATTACACTGGACCTACACTAACATACTGAAAGTTAAATTCACTGTCAAACACAAAAGACCACTTAGTGCTTCTACAGAAGAATTATGCAGAAAACATGCACAAGAATTCTACGACTTATATTATAATAACGTAACAGGATGTGGTTCTTTTCTTTAAATATGAAATGCACAAACCTTCTTCTGTAATCTGATGACTGAAGTCCATTTCTTTTCCAAAAGGCCAGCATACTTCTTATCCAATTCCTCATTCTAACAAGAAGAACCAAAAAGCATGAGAAACAGAGCAGCAACGCAAAATCATATGGGAAAAACAGCTTCTAGATATAATTGTAGCCATACACCCATCACCCCTAAAGGGAACTGTAAATTCTCTCTAAATCCCTTCACATGGGTTAATCTCCTGCAGACAAAGACAGCTTACCGAGATTACAATTATAGAAACACTGCACTGTGAAAAATTAACTTCAGGGTGCCTGGCACTATGTCCAACTTGATTTTGGCGAATAACGTACAGTTCCAAGCTTAAAGAGTAACCTGTCAGCAGGGTCAAAAGTCTTAACCTAAGGTGCAAGCATGTATGTATAGTATTTCTTTTTAAAATCACACTGGATTATACAGCAGAGAAATAACACTGAAATTTCCAAGCGCAATTAAGTATATTCATATCTGCATCTTCATGACATTTGTAATTCTAACTGGTGTTTAAATGCAACACCAAACAGAAAAATGCAGATCAAATATGGACTATAGACTCTACTGAATAAATGCAATGCACTATATAGCCTAGAATACTTTGGACCAGAAAGAAAAAGAATTGGAACAACAAACACAACATTTGGCTTCAGTTATCTGTGAGTACTCATTATTATTCACACTTTCAGTGCAGTGAGAGTCTGATTCAGCGGTATGAAAAACCAACATGGTTAATTGTGTTTGCCTTCAACCGAGACATTCCTCCCTACGTGTGTGTTCTTAAATATGCATGGCTGATCTGAGCTGGGGGCTACAAGTGGGTTCTGCTTGTGAAGAGAAGTGTACATATTAATGCTTTGCTTTGTGAGGTAAAACATCATCTCGAGGGTAATGTGTGTTGTTATGGTTCGATTCAAACCAGTGATACTGACTTCTTCTCTTTCAACAACACTGCAAAAATGCATATAAGATGGCAAACATTTCTAACAAAAGAGAGAGGGACATAAACCCACCACCACATGAGGCAGAGAAAGTCTGCATGAGTACATGAGCTGCAGCAGATTCACTCTGCTGGAATCGAATAAGAGGTGTCCAAGAGAACAGTTGCCACCTCTGCGATGAGAGAGGGGAGTGACGGGGGTCGTGTCACTAGGTCTCTGAGGGAAGGGGCGTTCCAAGCCTACTCTCAGGTCTGATCTGCCATCTGCCTGGACCCTCTGCCGCACATTGTGGCTAATGGCTAAATATGAGCCCACTACCACTGCCAGCCTCTAATCACTACGGTCTGAGTCCTAGTGTGGAGCGCTCCGATCACTCACCTAAAGCTAGCCTTGGGTGGTATTGATTTTTCTCTGTTCACTACTTACCATGTCGACTAGAACAGATATTCATGGTGGGGGGAAAAATAAATAAATAAATAAATAAATAAAACTCTGACACACACACAAAAAAAATAAAACCTAAAACCATGGAGTTGCGCTGTTGAGTGTCATTAGGTTTAAAAAACAGGCAACATGTGACAGCATGTTTCTGTCGTGCAACCAATTATGAATAACCTTTAACAAGCCGTATTCAGTTGTGCGTAAACTATAATACAACAACAACGTCAATGATAGTAATAATAATAATAATAATAAGCAGCTATGAGGGCATGCTAAGGGTCAAGCTTTATTTGGACTGTCTGAACCCTTGTGCTGCCAACTGTGAGAAAATAGTGCTCTCGGTTTTTACAGCGTTTGTCACTGCTCGATTTAAGCTGTGCCTGAATCAAGTCAGTACCAGCTGAATTTTTGATAGTTGCTACATTGTTGTAGCTGGCACTAGTTGCAATGCTAGTGAGACGACTTTCCTCCAGCCTCCACCCCTCCGAGGAAGATCTTAGTGCAACAGCTATTTTGACTCATTTATACTGCCTGCTGACACTGCGCACTAATAAACGTATGGCTGTAAAGTTAGTGTGAAATACTCGGCGCCGTGACTCAAGCAAATAAAATTCTGTGAATGTTTCACAGTGTAAAGCCAGTCTTGGCTGATTCCGAAGATTCAAAGTGTTGCTGGCTTTTTTGATTACTTGTTCGTCATGGTTTTTAGACGTCATGTTGACTCTTTTCTTCAGGTTTAAATCTAAAAAGTTGCCAGATTGTAGCATTTTGCAAATTTCTCTGTTCTGCAATAATCTTTCTGCAATTATGTTCACAACAGAAGGGTTCACAATGAGCTCACAGTGACTGTTTAAAAAGGTTTTTTAACAAGCAACTAATGGTAATGTAAAATTGTAAAACAAAAAAATCTGAACTGGAAGTAAAATCTCTTGCATTTTTACCATCTTAAAAGAGTGAATTCCAGAGTTAAATGGCAAACTTATATATTATTTCACTAATTTTGCAAATCAACAATAAAGTCAATGTCACTGGAAGATCATGTAGGAGAACAATCAAATCATTATATCGCAGAAGCTTACCTACAGAAAGCTCAAATAAACTTGTAATGCTTGGACTGGTTTAAAAAAAAAATACAGTAATAATAATAATAATAATAATAATAATAATTCTGAACCCTTTCAGTGACACAACTGAACCATCTGAGCTGAATGAATAGGTGTTAATAGTATTCTGGCTAATTAAAGTGAGTTTTTAGTCCAGTACTGCCAGCAGGCACAAGCTTATCTGAAAAGGGTGCTTCTCCATCGACAAGTCCCATCAATTATTCATTGTGGTTCCACTATGAAGGAAATGAGTGATTGAAAAACCTACTGCTTGGGCAAAAAATAAACAAGAACACTGGTCCAGGGAGTTCTAGCATACCAGACAGCTTTCCTAGCAACTCTCCAAGACTGCTAAGCGTTAATTAAGAAGGACCTTAGTTTGTGCCTCTCTCACTCATCACCACCACTCATCTTTTAGAGGCCAACATGGTTTGCCTCTGCCAGGCTCCAGAAATATCTTACTACATCTTTTTAATTCAGTGCACACACCCTCACAGTCACAACTCCTAACGCTATCATCAATTAAGCAGGGAAATACTCGAAATTAAGAGATATTGTTCAGGCCTGGGTGTGATAACGTTTTAAGAAGGAAGACTGGGAGGGGTGCCCCCCTACATGCTCACCATATCTAATTCTGCCTCCTTCTTGAAAACTGAATATGCCTCTTCATATCCATTGGAACGAAGGTAATCAGCTATCGCTCGATTTCTGAAAAACAAAGAGAAGAATAATTAGCTCTTGTGATAGGCAGGCAGGTTCTATTTAAGAACGTCTGGAATTGGAAAAAGCTTAAGTAAGGGATTTTGTAATTTTTTCCTCCCTACTGACAACAAAGAGGAGAGAACAAGCATGTCTGAGAGAAACATTCAAAACGTATAATTTATACGTTTGGATTTCTCTGGTTCAAAGTCGAAGAAACAACACGTGAAAACATCAATTTGACAAGACTAACACATCTGTCTCGACTGAATAACAAGCCCAGATTGCTTTGTGGTCAATAACGAAATAAAACTGGAAGAGCCAAGGCAAAAGCATGAAAAGTACATACATACACACATATATATATATATATATATACACACACACAGGGAGTCAGAGCAAGTTCTCTCTTTTTGTGTGTGTGTGTGAGAGAGAGAGAGAGAGAGAGAGAGAGAGAGAGAGAGAGAGAGAGAGAGAGAGAGAGAGAGAGAGAGAGAGAGAGAGAGAGAATGTATGCATACACACACACACACACATATACATATATATATATATATATACACACATATATATATATATATATATATATATATAAAAACAAAAGAGTGGACTCAACAATAATTTGTGCAATAATGGTGAAGTCAGTGGGAGGAACCAGATTTTAATTACAATTATATCAATTAAAAATAATTTATGAGTAGCCTACCAAATCAACTTAAGGGCAAATTCATAGATGGCTTAACCTGTTTTAACAAAGCGGTCTCCCAAACACCAGCATGTATGTGTTCCTCGAGTCTGAGCGCTGCAGATGATACAGACAGATCTGAGAGATAGTGAAAACAAAGCCGTCTGAGAAACGTCTCTACTGTAGAGCTCCTTCCTGGCATTGTGTTGTCAAATGAAATTCACAAGAGAGGAAAGACCGAGACCAATAAAGAACTGCAGCTTCAGCATAACGGTCACATACATTTCTGCTAATCAGGATTTTGTTTCTCCTTTGCTTAACCCAAATCAGTATGTGTGTTAGAAATCGAGATATTACCAATCTGATACCAGGTATCAGGCCAATATGAACAGAAAATGCTGGACTGGATATTAGAGAGGAAAAAATAATTAATCTGATCCACTCTTGTAACAATTCTAGCCTGAAACTGCGCACACTCAGACCGTGTGATGTTATCAGCTGTGTTCTTTTTCAAGTGTAGTGCTTCAATTAAATACAGCACATTTTAAAGCTTAGTAGTACAGTGAAGGTTTCAATATCGGCATCGTTTTTAGAAAAGAAAGTCTCATTAAAATGAGTCAAACACAACCAAATGAGGATCAAAATAACTGACGTAAAAAAACCTTTGGCCGTTTAAACAGGGAAAGTCCAGAGGTTGTTCAATGTCACACAGAGCTGGTGAAGAGTGGTTGGTGGACCAATTCCTTGGCAGTTCTGTTCAGAGGCAGGCAATGAGGCATCAGGCAAGCTCCACTGTGAGGTAGAGCTGATACTATAAATCACTGTGGAAACTCTTTGACTAGGTTTAAAAAACACAAACAAAAATCTTGGAAAAGACATACCACTTCTAATTATAATGAGTCGCACACAAAGGAGGATCCAAAAACCTGGGATGGGGAAAAAAAAAACCTGTGGCTTAGTCATCTCCATCATAAGGAGTCAGAGTTCAGAGGGTATTCAGTATCACACAGAGCCAGTGAAGTGATTGGTGGACTGATTCCTGGGCAGCGCTGTTCAGCAGTAGGCAATAAGGTACCAGGTCCTCCAACTCCACTGTGGGCATCAGCTCACTGCTGCTGCCTCTGACAGCAAGACCACTCATTAAAGTCAAGGTCAGCATGAGGTTATCGCTCATGACAGGCTGCAGGAATACAGCAGACACTGCTGGATGCTGGAGGGCATCATACAAGGGTCTGAGAATGTGTGTGTGCGCACGTGTGTCTGTTTACATCAGGACAAAGCAGAACATTTCTAAACAATTATAATCCAGAGATGCAGTCTGATTTTGTGAGTCCCAGTGTCTACCTGATTTCTAAAAAAAAAAAAATAGTCAAGTGTCAAATTCAGCATGCTTAGGTTGCAGGAAGATATGGACTTGTGTGTATAAATGCTTCTTGCTCAGAGGATCCTATAATCTGGTCCTACAAACAAATCAACTGACCAACTGCTCATCTGGGCAGCTAAAGTAGGGGGGTTCATACAGAAACATGTGTGCTGGGTTACTCATAAACTGAAATCTATATTACAGGATATGTTCAACATGCAAATAATGATCTTATATTATACAGTCCAGGTTCATGTTCAAATGTTTGGGTTTTCTTTATGCGATGAATAAACAGGAAAGTATCATTTCCAAGCCTCTTTTGACAACAGAGAGAATGCTTTTCAGCAGATGCCTGTTAGGACTGGTCAGTCCCATATAAAGGCAGGGCTGATATTAATCGCAATCATCTTGGACCAGCCTATTCAAATCTTATTGACTGATCTCACTGTGCAAATTCTCCCTGGCTGGGTTTGAAAACCAAACAAAAATAAAGATGCCAGACTAGGAACTGATACTTTGAATGGAGAAAGTCAAATGCCACCACCACTAGAGACCAAAATAATTCCGGTTCCATCTCCAGTCCATCCGTGTATGGACTAGCAAATAATGCAGCTTTCAAAGCTCCCATGAACTCTAGTCTTCCTAAGAAGCAAGACCGAAGATATGGAAGGTAAAAGAAAGAAGTCTAAACAAAAATACAAGTGTTGATAGCTTTGGGTAGTAGCCATGGAAACCACAGAAGAGGCAGACAAGTGGAGAAAGCATGATGAACATGAGTGGGCAGAGACATCGAATAACCAGACAACTAGGAACAAAAGACACCCTTCACTTCTTTTAACCCTTCACTTTACTGAGAGCTCCATCACTTGGCAGTGATAGTGCTCTTCTAAATCTCACAGAAGGACTAAGGCTGGAAGAGCACATTGCAATGAAGCACTAATTCACTGTTACTGGAAAGGACAACATACAGCACATGCAGGGAAAATGGGTGTGAACAATAATGAAACTCGATCCATGCCACTGCCTCTGTCTAAGAAAAGCTGTGTATATTCCAGACACATCCTCATATCACGCTGGGGAAGCAGTACACCAGCAAAACCTTTCATGAACAGAGGAACTTGATTAGTCTTAAAAGAACAGAATTCTAAACATCCTAGTAAATGCAGGTTCGCTGAGGCTAAGATCATGAAGAGGACCTGCTATTTTCAAAGGCAGTGACTCAATCTACATCTCAGAAGGTGATCTTAGTGAACGCTCAATAAATTCCAGGTAGGGTGGGGGCAGCAGCATGGAAGAGATGCAAGGGGGAGAGTGAGAGTGAGCGTGTGACCAGCATTACCTCATCTCTCTGAAAGAGGTGCGTCTAACGTACATCATTTCCTCTACGCTCCACACTTACTTCCGCATCCACATCATCACAGCCAGGCAGGCACCATACTGCATCCCTCCATCTTAATGCTGCAGTCAGTAGCCTGCTCTGCAGTGACCGCAGCCAGCTTTATCAGGCTCATTTCTAGCCCCTGAGGGGATATTTCATGTTATGACAGCCTGTAGAAAGAGAATATGGCTTGTTTTTTAGCCTGCTGCTGTCATGTATTAGCTTGTGGCATCAAGTGTGTGTGTCTCCGTGGGCTGGAGAGGTGATAACAGAGTAAACAAAACGAGGAGAGAGGCTGTTCTCCCCTGCATCTTCAACATGAAAACACACTCCTGGCATAAAGAGCCTTTCATCTAAGCCAGCACTTTCTCTTGCCTTTTTCCAGAACACGCATACACACAGAAACTGCAGGAGAACGGTCTCCCTCTGCCTGACTGCTCTCTGACAAAAGGCACCTGCACTGAAGCTACTGCTCTGCTGAATAAGCAGACGCATACTGTATCCTCTGACCAGTGCCTGGGACCAACCACGAGGAATTTCCACTGATTTCCAGTAGAAACACACAGCAAGACACAAAGAACCACCCCCACACATTTTATTTCTCTGTTCATGCTGTCAGCAATGATTGTCTGAACAGTTAAAAACAATAAAGAAAACTCTACACCACACCTATGGATCTCACCACATCCATGATGTCAGGTTCGCCGTGTAGGCAAAAACAATGACTGTACATCACTTAACACTGACAATACTTTCACTAACCAAGTATGTATGATCGTTTCAACACAGAAAGTCAATGGGCTCTCTAGTATGATTCGAAATCTGTCAGGTCATTAGAACTATTGTGATCGGCCAGAACAAAAACTAGGCGTGCACATTTTGGCAAATTCTTGTGACGGATAACAGACTGTCATTAGTCAGCAACTGACCGTTAACTGGAAATCCTAGTATCAAGGATGCAACCCATCAAAATACAAATTCAATATACATTCAAAATACATTCAAAGCCAGTGTAAAATACATGATATATGCATATACATATATTTATAAGTGCACACATCAACAGCATTCTGTATTAAAGCACCAAGATATTAAAGAGTGTGCGGCCGAGCATAAGCATATATACGAAGTAAACTGCATTAAAAACATGCACTGTGTAAGCACAGAGTTTTGTTTAGAGCATGGGGCTCACCCATATGTTCATGATTCTACCAAAACTACTAGATTTGTGTGACTGATTAGCCTATTTCATTGTGAAGCATTAGTAAAGAACTACAATAGCATTACCATAGCAGGATTTTCAATTAATGTGAAAAACACAGTAACTGAAAACAGTAACAAATAAACATCAAATCTACTGACCATTCTTCAAACATGGCAGGGATATTATTAATAAAACCCCATACCACTGGTTAAATCATCAATCTTTTAAAGTACAAACTTTTACAGTGCATTTATTTACACCAACCCTGATATATCATTATACGTTATATCATGCCAGTCTCTCCCAGGAAAAACCTGGTGTATTATGTGCACCCAACAAGGCACTCGGTTTGACTCAAATACACAAGGACCTGGTAGAA